CTCTTTCCTGTGCAGGAATATATGCCAGGATTAGAATTGCTAGCCATATGCTAACTGCATTTTGACTCATTATTTCATTTTTTGCCAAACTATTTTACACTCCCACCAGCCATTTATGAGAGTTCCAATTTATCCACATCCTGGGCAGTACTTTTTATTGTCCATCTTTCTGAAGATGGTAATTCTAGTTGGACTAATAGATTTTTAAGTTAGCAATTTGCAAGCATTTAGAACAAAAATGATCTGCAGGAGCAAAAATGAGTTCTCCAACAATAATCATGCCAGTCTAACCCCTTATTTTCCTTTGTTAAAAAAAAAAAGCCATTTATCTTTTCAGTACTAGCTGTACTAGGGCAGAGTATTTTTACATTTCAGCCCTGTCTTTCACAGTGTCGTCATGTACAAAAACGGAGAAACGGGGGCTGTGCTAATCGTTGGGTGGATTTCTCACTTGCAGAGGGAGTGACAGCGAGCGGTACTAGGTCTGGGAGGCCCTGCTGCTGCTTCAGCCTGACCGCTTCCACTTCTGTCCAGAACGTGGTGGGGGAAACAGATGGCAGCCTGTTTAATTCTTCCATTACTCAAAACAGGCAGATATACATGTGTCTTGAAAGATCTGGTTCCAGCAAGATTCTGACAGCATAGGACGGCAGGCACAGTCCCGTGAGATGGACATCATTAGGGATAAATGGCGAGTCCATTACTGCAGAATCTGATCCAGAAATAACCAAGCAAATTTTCACATCGGTTTCTGCTCCTTACCAAAAGGAGAACCAAGTTCAACAAAGGGGTGACAAACCTTGGGGTACCTGGACATCTACTCCTATATGTTGTACGTGTCTGTGATTTCAGAGGGTACCATGAGAGAACACAGGAAATTCTAGAGACTGTGCTAGCTTTCCCATCGCTGGACACATACCCGAGAGCCACAACTTAAGGAGAGGTTGATTTTGGCTCATGTTTAAAGGGAATTCAGTCCATGGTGTGCTGACTCCACAGTGGCAACATGGCAGGCAGGCATGGCGGAACAGCTGCTTAGTGTGACAGCTGGGAAGCAGAGTGGGGCGGCTGCCAAGGAGGAAGGACTGAGAGACCAGACATCGGTCTCAAGGTCCTGCCTCCAGGACCTACCCAGACATACCCAAAAGTGTGCTTCCCCCAGTCCCAAGCCAAGGGAGCTGACATTCCACCCTCATGGCTGCAGGGACTTGTTAGAGCTGGCAGCCTATCGTTGCTCCCCATTGCTGCACATCTGTGGTACAGAAGCAGGATGAGCCATAACCCTCTGGTCCCACAGGGAAAACAGATTTGGATTGATTACGAAGAACTTGGTGAAACTCCAACTGATCAGGCTGCCTGATAAGCTGGTGAGAACCCTGCCACTGGGGATTTTAAAAAAGAGACCACTTAAGCCTCTATTATGAAACTTCCAAGTTGGCCTGGGTGACCTGTGAGGTCTGAGCATTAAATCAGGGACTCCCTATCTATAATGCCAAGTGCAGGTATCACCTGCAGCATGTCACCAGTTCCAGAGTGAAATGGATCGTTATCTCCCTGTGTCCGTCAGTATCCTGTCTGTCCATCAGAACACTTGGATACCCACCAAGAGTCCCTGGGATACACTCAGGACTCAAAGCCAGTGCCCCTTCCCAGTGCCTCTGACCTGTATATACCTGCTCATGTCTTACCTATGCTGTAGGTTTACAGTGAGTCTCTTGGGCATGTCTTAGGCTGTATAGCCAGTTTTCTTGTTTGTTCTTACACTGATTGAACACGTAGTCAATGAGCACTTTCCTCATGCTGGTTCCTGGGTGAGTGGTTGGGCGTGTCACAGTGAACAGGGGTGGGGGCTGACCTGATGGCTGTGGGTGTAACAGCCTGACAGTGGCCACCATGGCACTGTGCTTTGGGACTGTGGGGGCAGGAATCTGATTTCAAGCCTGACTTAGAAGTGGCTGGGAAGGGGGCCTCCCTAGAAACGTGTCCTTTAGCTGGACCTGAAGGAAGAAGAGGAGCCGGTAGGGAGGGAGGAAGTAGGGCTGAGAGAGCACGCTCGCCATTCCTGCAGCCCCAGCTGCGCCCAGACACAGGACGGGACGCCTGGCAGGTGTTGCTGAGGATGTGTTTGAAAGAGGGAGGAGGACCGCCTGGCCAGGGACTGTCCATCCCCTGCTCATCTAGCACCTGGGCTGAATCACCTGTGACCTATGTGGGGAGACACACGAGGATCAGCAGGTCAAGGCAGTTCTGACTGCCTTGGAATCCGGCCCCAGATGGGCTGTGTTCCAAACATTCCTACTTCCCTGTGGTGACAGCTCCTTTAAGACCATGTGTCTATGATTCCCGTAATTATCCCCGAATACCCACTCTAAATGGGGACATTTTCAAAGTAGAATATGATCTCCCTGCACCCCAGACCTCTGCCTCTTATCTATTGTGACTTCTGCTGTAGCAGCCTGCTGCTACCCTCCCACCCAGCCACTTGCCCCCAGATAAGAGAGAGAAAGGGAAGAGGCCAGTCTGTCTCAAGTGTTGGTACCAAGCGATTATTTCCTGTTATTGCCAATTGAGGATAAGTAGAAAATAACAGAGGAGTGAAACCAGGACTCAAAGCCGGTGCCAAGTGCTTGGCATGCGTTACTGTGACATTTGCATGTGTGTTGCATGGGAAGCCCTGTGTCAGCTGAGCATAAGGTGGGATCTGCTGCCCTGGGAGATAAAAGAGCTGTATTCAAGCCTTAATAGATGTGCTTCTCTGACCGCTGTCTGTCTGGAGTCTCAGTTTTTTCATCTGTGAAATAGGGAGGTGATACTAGACTATTCTTCCATTTCAGGGAGAGTTCAAGCCATTCTCCCATCAGGTCTGACTTCTGGTCAGGGAATGCGGCCATAGTAAGTACAGGGGGAAATATCCTAGGAAGAGGACCACTGGGGCAGGAAACACAGTCCAGAGCTAGGAGGAGAAGTATCTAGAAGTGAGATGAGAAATAGAGAAAGAGAAATACAGCCGAGCATCCCCAATCTAAAATCTAAATTCTCTAAAATCCTAAACATTTTGGGCAATATGATGCCACAGATGGAAAATTCCACACCTGGCCTCGTATAATGGGTCGCAGTGGAAATTCAGGCGTACTAAAATTATTGTGTAAAATTATCTCCAGGCTATACATATAGCTGTATGTAAAACATAAATGAATTTTGTGTTTACACTTGGATCCCTCCCCAGGACATCTCATTATGTTTAAGCAAATATTCTAAAATCTGAAAGTAAAACTGAAATCTGAACCCCATCTGGTCCTAAGTGTTCTGGATAAGGGACATTCACCCTGTGTAATAGATCAGGGGATCTCAGACGTGCTCATGAACCAGCAGTGTCCCATGGGAACTTGTTAGGAAGACAGCTTTGTGGGTCCTGCCCCCAGACCTGCTGAGTCAGACACTTAGGAATCCGGTTACTAATGTATTTTCACGGCCCCCAGTGATTCCCATGCAAGCTGATGTCTGAGAACTAAGAGTACGGGAAGAGTAGGGTACAGATGAGATCAGACATATCCTCAGAAGGCCAAGAAGGAAAGAGAACTAACAAGTGTCAAACCCTTGCTTCTGGAAGAGGGCGTTTCCTTTATTGTCCTTCATTGAAACTTCTCAGCATCATGGCAAAGCAGGCTTTGTTGCAATTTACGCAGGACTTGGGTGAGGCATGTGAGACTCGGAGATGTACATTTGATGCCAGAGTCACAGGGATAGCAGCAGACATGGGGGATTGGAACTCAGGTCTCTCCGGTCTCAAAGCCTGAGTTCTTTCCTCCCTGTCTGGCTACTTCTCCAGCCACAGGCCCCTTAGCAGTGCCTCCACTGCGTAGCTCTGGCTGCCTCCTCCGCCCTGCGGTCACCTCAGAGCTTGCTGTTCTGTCCTCCTGCAGCCTGCAAAGGCAAAAGCAGCCTATTGTTCAGGCAGATGAGGAAGACTGGGATGCACGGGCGCAGAGCAGCACGGTGTGGTGGGGGGAAGAGGGGAAGAGTGTCACCTTGTGTGTCCCTTGGCCTTCAGTGCTACATGCAGCTAAGGCAGATGGGTGCTGGCATGAAGCTTTGTGCAAAGTAAGAGCTCACACACTGGGTGACGGAGTCCTTAGCTACTCATTGATGCTACATGTGCCAAGCCCTGTGCTGGGTGCCCTGGGGAAACTGAGGCAAGGTAGGTGTAGTTTCTGGCCTCAACAAATTCATGGTCCAGAGCCAGGCAACAGTAAATAACAGTGGCCACCTAGGGTGCTGGAGAGATGGCCAGGATGATGATAGCAGTTCAAAGAACCTCATGTGGTGACTTTAGGGGGCAGACCTAAGGCTTCAGAGTCACAGGCATAGGCTCAATTCCCAGCCCGCTTGCTGACTCCCTGGGGAATCTTGTGGCCAGGTTGCTTTGACTTTTTTATGAATAGAATGGAGTGACCAGTCCTCACTCAGGTGTTGTCCTTTAAGTCATGACAGGCTCTCACCTGCTCAGTGAGTTCGTTTCTTCCTTTAGCAGATTAGGCCAGAGCAAAACAGGGACAGCTGCCTGGAAGAGGTGGCTTTTCACTTGGCACTGACAGACAGCTAGGACTAAGTTAGTGCTTATCATATCCTAAGAAATCTCTGGACAGACTGTAGAGGCGGGAGTTTGTGAAGAAGATGGGCTTTCCAGGCAGTGGTAAGAGCAGTAGTGAGAGCAGCTGCCTTCCTCAACTTGGAAAATTTGGGAGACCTGTTTTATTTTGAGCGTTTTGGTTTTGGTTTTTTAAGGGTCTCACTACACTGCACATGCCAGCCTTGAACTCTTAGTCTGTCTGCTTCAGCCTCCCACGTGCTGGGATTACAGCTGTGCACCACCATACCCAGCTTTGGGAGATCATCTTTACAGCATGGGTTAAATCCGTGTGACGGAAGTACCACAGTTGTCCACCTGTGTGATGGGCATCGTGTCACCCAGGACCCCTGTCCTCTGCTCCTTCCTGCAGATGATGCGCTTTGCCTGGCAGAGCTACCGGCGCTACGCGATGGGGAAGAACGAGCTCCGGCCGCTCACGAAGGATGGCTACGAGGGCAGCATGTTCGGTGAGTGGACAGGGCCCTGCCCTCTGACATCTGAGTGGGATTTTACTTTCCCTTCCAGAGTGCAGCCCTCTTTCTCCAGGCCCGGGGCATCTCTATCTGTGTTCCTTTGGGCTCTTCCTGCTCCTCAGCCTTCCTAGCTTGAGGTAAACCCTGTGCTTCTCTCCAGCCCTACAGATCTCAAGGTTATCACAATGCTTTAGGGACAGAAACTTGGGACTGTGAGCAGGGATGGTAAGGGATGAGTTTTGGTCTAGGAGGGACATTGAGGACTGAGTCTGAGTTCCTCCAGAGCATGTGGGTGAGATGACGGAAGGCACTATGATGGAAAAACCAACACACATCCCATGGAGCTGGTGCCCAGGCTGCCAGTAGGGTCCAGGGATGTCTTACAGAACAACACATGTAGGGTTTCAGCAGCTTATTTATATTTTACTTGCAACTTTGGGTGGCTGCTGGCTTCGTTCTCTTCTGGCCACAGCATTTGCTGAACCAGGAGACTTATGAGCCCCTTTCTGCCCCTCTCCTCTCAGAGAAACTGCCAGGTCTTATCATGGGCCTGGCTCACATCTGAAATAGTGCCTGCTTCCTTTCTGCAAGTTGGCTCCCTTGAAACAGGGTTTGCCAGTGGCCTGCCTGCTTCCTTGCCTGAGAGATGTGCAATATTTGGGGGTTGTGGGTTCATGTCCCATGTTGGGCGCCAAATACTGTAATCCCAAATATTGTGTACAGTCATTCAAATATTGTAATCCTTTGTCTAGTTTTCCCCACAATCCAAAAAGTTATATTTGTAGTTCCATTGAGATGTTATTGGAATCCCAACAAGTTAATTTCAATCTACCACTTCCATTGCAACCCACAGTGAGAGAGACACCAAGACATGTTCCAAGTTAAGGGCGGCCAAGGGGTCCTAAGTCCAATCCCCGTGAGGATATGTGGAAAAAGGCCCTGATCTTCGTATTTATTATTTTGTGAAGAAACAGGGTGGCTCAGGGATAAGTGACAGTGAGGATGGTGGGAATTACATGAGTAACTTGAGCTGGCTGGCCAAGTAGGGAGAAAAACATCTCTGCAAAATACAGAGATAAGGATATGCAGAAGGGTCAATTTGCATAATTCAATTAAGGTAACAACTGAATTGTTTTAAGAGGCTGTTGCTTTGGTTTCTGATACGTAAATTTTTGTGTCCTGGGGACTCATAGCCTCTTTACTTTGAGGCTCATTCCCAGTTGACATTCCTGGAGCTGATGGCTCCAGCATCCTGCTGTGCTCATATCTTTTACAAAGAGCACTACGTGTGTACCTCAGCTGACCTTATTTGCAATGCTTAGAGCCAAGTGAAGAGAGAAGGAAATACCATAGCAAGCTCTCTACGTATCAGTATAAGGAAATAAGTCTCCATATGATCAACATTACAACAATTGTGCTGCATTCAAGGGGAGTCACTGGAGTTGTCTACCACATTGTGGGAAAGGTGACAGGGACCCATCTCCTCCTCCTGACCAGTCAGCACTGTAATATATCCCACTGTCCACTGCCCTGGAGGGGGGTGGATTTAGGTAGCTTTGTTGATTTATTTTTCTGATTATCTTAGAAACATAAGGGAAAAAAGGACAGTATCAAAAAAAGCATAGAGCAGGCAGAAATTACTTGTTTGCCATGTAGATGCAGCCTCTGTTGACATCTTGCCTCATTTCCTTCCAGTGTTTACTCCTGTGTGTTTTTAAATCCTTTTATATACAATTTTATATCCTTTTCTCTTTATCTCTCTCTGTATGTTTCTCTCTTTTTAATATTATATCACAAGAATCACTTAACTCTTTTTGTAAAGAGTGTTTTAATGGTTTCAGTGATTGTGTGGATATGCTGTACTAATTCATTTAATCTTCCTGCTAATGTTGGACAAAGATTGTTTCTAGATTTTGCTGTTAAAATAATGCATGAGTTATCACATTCTGAATAAAGTTTTCTCTAGGAATAGATTCCTAGAGAGGAATTCTCAAATCAGATGGAGTAAAAGAGACTTTTCTTTAGCCCCAATATGTAGTACATGGATCCTGGTGGCGAGCTGCCGTTGCAGCTGCCTGGACTACAGATCCACACCCCACCCTCGCCATCAACCCTGAAGAAGGAGGGCTGGTGTGCAGCTTGTCAAAGTTGTTAGAGATTGTGTTATTAGTACAAGTGGAAATGCGATGGAGAAGGCTTCCCCTCTCCTTTTCTCTAAACAGTTTGTAAATATCCAAGGAATTGGAGCTTGATGGGGAGGAGAGGCTGTCAATTTGCAAAATTGCTCAGCATGGGTACAGCTATTGCTCAGACCATCATGGGAAACACTTCTGGGAGGGAATGAGCTAAATCCAGTCCCATTTTATAAAGTTCCGTAGTCCTTAGGACTTAAATCTCAACCTCCCATCCCCTTGCCAATCACCAAGCCAGGTGGAGCATGGTCTCCATCCATAATGGGGAAAAAACCTGGACCTTGAGTCAGAAGACCTGGGTGCAAATCCTTACTCTGTCTGCAGGGGTTTAGCCAAGTCCAAGTGGTTTACCTTTTTGGGCCCCTGTTCATTTATCCTCTGTAGTGGGACTGCTATGAGTATATAAATGAGTATGTGTGTACATGCCATTATTTATGATTTCTGTTATGATAAATGAGGTTCACAGTCACCAGTGAGTCCATGGTGGTCTCTGAGGTCCCCTGGATTGTCTGTCTCCCATGAGTGTCCTTGGACAAGCCTTAAGAATCCCGTCACAGTGAGCAGGCAGCTAGTAGACGAGCTATCTTTGCCAGCTGGCCCTTGGGAAAGAAGGTTACACACAGGCAGCCAGGAACAGGACAGGGAGAGCTGGTCTGAGTTTACTCCCTTTCACTCACTAGGTTCTAGGGACACAGGAGCCCCCACCGTGTAAAGTGAAATCTCTGTCATCTCTGCCAAGACATGTGCTCCTTCCCGTGGCCCCTCCAGGGTCTATCCAGATACTCAGAGAGAGGACAAATACAGGTGATCATGACAATGATATGAGCAGTTGTTGAGGTCATCGACTTGAGGGTCTGTATTTCTGCAGCCAGAAAGACCTGGGTTCAAATTTAGACTTCACTGCTTCCTGGTTGTGTGATCTTGGGCAAGTTGTTTCTCTCTGAGGCTGTTTTTCTGTGAAGTGAAGTTAACATCAGACTTCTGGATCAAGTCATGCCTGACACAGAGACACTGTTAATAGATGATAGCTGTGATTATGGTTATCACAAATAGGCTTATGAGAACATACCCAATGGACAAGGGGTTGGGGTGGCTCCACGAGGGGCTTGGAAGCTAGACTGTCTTCACAGATGGAAGTAGGTGAGCTGGCCTGAACTAAACAGCGTGTCACACCATCACTGCTTTTCTAAATGGATTGGGACGGATGGGCTGCGTCACTCAATCAGTGACCTCGCCATGGGCCAAGTCCTGCAGACACAGGACACTTCAGGGACAGACAGGTGGTCGGCAGTGCCCATCCTGGCCCTCTCACTGAGTGGGACACACAGGGAGACCCTAAGCAGTCTCCTCGTGTCCATTGCTCAATCTGGACAGGGCTGCTGGCAGCCACGTCCCTGGGCCTGCGGGGCAGGTGATGAGTTCACGCTGCCACCTCGCTTTGCCAGGATTCGTCAGAGCTGCAGTGAGCACAGTCGGACACTGAGCCTGGTCCCCCATGCGGCCTTTCTCCGCTCTGAATCCCCCTCACGGCTGCCTCTTGCCTTTACAAATCTGTTCTTACTTTGAGAACAAGACCTCTTAGTAAGGCATCTTTCGAGCCTGACTGAATGAAATGATTGTGTCCTAATCATTTCATTGACTCTGTGTCTTGTTTTTTTACCCACATCTGGCTCAGCATGCCCTGCTACAAAATATGCCCAAGGCCCCAGTGGTCACCAACAAAAAAGGCACAGGCTGCTCTGGCCTTATGGCCCAGGCCAAGGCAGAGAGCTGCCTTTTTCTCTTCCTGGGAGAGTTGAAAGGGTAGGACAGCGTCTACCTGGGTGGCAAACAGAGCATGGGCTTTGTGTCCAGATGAATCTGGGTGGTCTCAGGCTGCAGAGTGGGCAGGGCCCTTGCCAAGTACAGAACAGACACTTAGTTGGGGGTGCGCTTATTACAGAAGTGAGTTTTCAGCTTGAAGATGCATGGGGAGACTTGGGGGCAGGGGGTGGGACAGATGGTGGCAGCCACACACGATGCCATAAAGGAGAGGTCTAGTATGATGAGGCCCAGCTTTCTCACCTGTGAAAAGGGGCAGATGTTCACTCCTATGTCAGGATGTGGGGGGATGGTAAGCAGCTAGCTAGAGAGCTTGGTCCCTGAGCCAGCCGGCTTGGATTTACAGGCCAGGCCACTCTGCTGCTTAGGAGCTGTGTGAGCTTGGCCAAGTTTCTTTCCTTCCCTCTCTCCCTCCTTTCCTCCTTCTTTCCCTGTCTGCCCACCTGCCTTTTTATGTCTGTGTTCTCTCTCTCTCTCTTTCCTTGTTCTGTGGATTGAACCTGGGACTTTTCATAGAGCTATGCCCAGACTTATTTTTTATTTTTAAATTTTGAGACAGATTGGGCTCAAACTTGTGATCTTCCTTCCTCAGCCTTCCAGAGCTCCGGGATTACAGCTGTGCCCAATTTGGGTATGTTTCTTAACCTCCCTGGGCCTGTTTCCTTATCTATAAAGTAGAACAATAATAGTACCGCCTTCTCAAGATTCAGAGACTGAAATCTGGTCCAGTGCTGGGAGGCTCTGCACGCGTGCCTTGCTGTGAGGGTAATGCAAGGCCTGAGCCCTGTGGAGGCTGCTCCCATCCTGACTAGGTCTTGCCCAAGTAGCCTGGGCCCACACCCGACATGAGGACTGCAGGGGTGCCCCACCCCAGTCTCTCCTGGCCTGTCCCCCAGCCCTTGAATGCCCAATGCAGAAACTTGGGGCAGGCAACCCACTGGTGGACAGTGTACCTCTCACCCCTTCATTTAAGCAGTTTCC